CCCATGATTCACGCGCTCCGATTCGTATGCCCAATGCGAAATCAAAGCTAAATTCTCCTCTTGCAAATAGGTCTTCTCGTCGAAATGACCAGCCAAAATGAGAAAAGCTGCTGCCAAGGCAGACCCATAAGACGCCGAGCTGCCCAAGCCGGCGCCCACATTAAGCTCTGAATCCACTTGCACCTGGAAACCCTGGGAAAGTTTCAGATTGGGTTCGATGGGAGACGTGAGCACAGCGCCTGCTAGCAGATAGAATATTGAAACGAATGCGCGTTGGTTCTGCGCTTTTTGTGTGCCCATATTACGTTCCATTTCCTTAGCCAATTCTGCACGCACCTCCTCCAAAAGTTTAGCGGTGCTCTCCAACTTGTCGCCGGGATATTTGAAGCGAAAGCTATCTAGAAAGGCATTAAAGTTACTCAATTTGATTTCCAGAGTGGAGTTGAGAGACTTCAGCTGAAATATGGCCATCTGGCTCTCCGCCACTGAGCGGAACTGAAGCGTGGTGCCTAGGCCAACGACTGCAGCCAGTGCTGGCTTTTGATAAATAACAGCGTGCTCTCCATGTAGAATAACCTTGCCAGGAGAGTGCACCTGGAACTTCATCATTGTCTGTTTCTGTTGAAACGCAAATATATCTTTTTTTAGATATTTGAATATCTAATGAGTGCCCTCGAGTTCATACAAGATGGCGGCAACAAGGGTCACTGGAGATCAGGTTCTCGCTTTATTTATATTATGTATGTTTGATTCAGATTTTATGTAATGTTACGCGAAATTTTGCGTGTTTACTGTTACTCCGTTCATCGGCTGTTTCCCTTTCACTTTCTTTGTTCAACTGTTTTAAGTTTCGACTGCTTTGATGTTGTCTGACGTTGGCTGGCTAAATCGGCTACACACACACATGCATGCATGTACAGGTTTTTGGACTCCGCAATGAAGTAACTGGTTACGGTTGCTACTGCTCTAGCTATTGCTGTTGCACTTTCTCCCACTCAGCTGGTGTGTATGATTTTTGCGAGAAAGCGTGTATTTCCTTAAGTTCTTCGGCGAGCGTCGTGTTAACTCTTAAATCAAAATTATATTATTTATTTTTATGTATTTTAACATTTAAGTATAGAGCGAATTACAATCTGTGCTTCTGCAGGAGTGCTTTCCCTTCAAATGCCTTAGAGACAATGATAGCGCTGAATTTTCCACCACATCCGTCAGATTCGTCTGTTACCTGCACATAGGTTGCGTCAAGTTTTTCTTTAAGCTTGTCTTCCAGATACTTCGAGGTATACTTGCTCATTTTGAATAATTTTATTTTAATTTATTTCCCTTACAAATTACCAAATGCAAAACGAGGCCGTCACTAGCGGCAAATTATCGAAATTAGAAGATTACTTCTTTAATAAGGCAAAACGTCACAAGCAACTAAAATGAGGTACGCAGAAAGCATTAGTATGCGAATTGTAAAATTGAGCCACAAGGTCGTTTTTTGAAACAAACACGTAAAAATGATAATTACATCATAAAATTACCAACAGTAGGGGTTCGAATTGTACATTGTTATGAAAATAATTATTTATGACGTCACAAATACAATATGTGATGATTCTTGACATTTTATTCATTGTTCTATCCGATGAATAAATCGTATTGAAATTATTATATTTTTTTAAATATCGATTGTTTGACAAGGCCAAGTCTATCGAAATCTTCTCCTTCCCAATATAGCATTGTTGAGCGTGTTGATAGCGCCAAAATTTCTCGTTTTTAGTTTTTTTACAATTAGTTTTTAATTAAAAAGCACTTCACATCTGTTCAGACCTAAGCGAAAAATATAAGTATAAGCGCTGAATAAGAGTCATTATGTCATTCTTTGGTGGCAACACATCTCTGGGTGCGACTAGCACGCCGGCTAAACGTAAGTAGGCGTCGCGTTTCATTCTTCAGGTGGGAATGACACGAAAAATGCATGCGGTATTTAAATAAAATTCCGGTCAAGCTCTTTTCGCCAAATAGCGTTGGGGGTCAGCAGTTGAAGGCAGAGTGAGCAACTTCTTCGCATCCTGAAAGTTGCTCACACGTATTCCTTTGGATTAATTCTGAAATGTTTGGAAAGTATGAGATATAGGATTCTGCAAAAAGTAAAGAGATATCAGCAACAAGGCTAGACTTACTCCTTTTTGTGAATAACATAGCCGACATAGGCAACGCAAACCAGCAGAAATATTACAAATACAATGAGTAATGACATAGTGGGGAAAACAAACACATCTGCTGCTGTCCAACTTCTATAGTATACTAAGTCTTAACCCTCACTAAACACTTCTCTCGAACTGATAAGATTTGTAACGCGGAAGCTGGACTAGCAACAAAACATTTCAAGCATTGACCCCTTTCTATTATACTTATCTATTCTGTGGACAGCGGGCGGTATGTTTGGCTCAGCGTTTGGTGCGACAAGCGGAACTGCGGCACCGGCTTTTGGAAGCAATATATCAACGTCTGCGTTTGGTAGCGCACCCACAGCCTTCGGTGCTCCAACAAGTGCACCCGCTGCAACACTGGGCAGCGGATTTGGTGGCTTTGGCACGACAGCACCGACAAATCAGTCTAGTTTATTTTCAACACCCGCAAGTTCGGCCCCGCCTGCTTTCAGTGGGTTTGGACAGCTGCCAACGTCGAGCAACGCGCCTGCTAGCGGATTCTCCGGATTTGGAGCAACAACGACCACAACACCAGCATTTGGTGGCTTTGGCACCAACCAGACGTCAGCATTTGGTGGCAGCACATTTGGATCATCAGGTAAAATTCCCTAAGTTCCTTTCATAGAGAATATATTAATTATAGCAATTATTGTTGCAGCTTTCGGAAAACCAGCTGCGCCGACAGTGACTCCCGGCTTCGGAGGCTTTGGCGGTACAAACTTTATGTTGGGACAGCCACAGCAGCAGCCTGTCCCAATTTCAGCGGATGAAGCGTTTGCACAGGCCATTCTAAATGTCTCCATCTTTGGCGATGAGCGTGATAACATTGTAGCCAAATGGAACTATCTGCAGGCAATGTGGGGCACTGGTAAACTATTTTACTCCCAAAGTGCAGCTCCAGTGGACATTACGCAGGAGAATTACTTATGTCGCTTCAAGGCTATTGGCTACAGTCGCATGCCTGGCAAGGACAACAAGCTGGGGCTTGTCGCACTAAACTTTGATCGGGAGTTAGCAACGATTAAGTGAGTGCTAACAGCCTATCTGAATTTTACCTTCATTATCATCTTTGCATTTATAGGACGCAACAGCAACAGATTGTACAAACCCTGCACAGTCTTATGGGCAGCAAACCAAATCTTTTGGTGCACATCGACGTTCTCAAAGAGCTGGAGAACAAAAAGTGCCAAATGGTTATCTATGTGGAGGAGAAAGTGCAGATTCCACACGGTCCACACGATAGCAAGCGGATACTTGCCACTGAGCTGGCTGCTTATTTAAATCAGGCAACAGTGAAGCCACAGTTGACGAATCTGGGATTGACGGAAGCCTTGGCACTTACGCTACCCGATGAGGATCAATTGAAAGAATACCTAGAGAATCCCCCGCGCAGCGTTGACCCACGCATGTGGCGGCAGGCCAATTTAGACAACCCAGATGCCAGTCAATTTATACCTGTGCCCATGATTGGCTTCAACGATTTGAAATGGCGTGTCAAATGCCAGGAACAGGAGACCGAGACGCATGCGCTGTACATGAAGAAGGTGGAAGGCGAGTTACAGGAACTGCGGCGACGCCATGCTTCCGCAACAGCCAGGATAATGGAGCACAAACGGAAGTTAGCCGAAATGAGCCATCGCATACTTAGGGTAAGCGAATACAAATTTCATATCTTTTTAGATATATTCAAAATTATAAAATTTTTTCCGCAGATCGTTGTGAAACAAGAATGCACCCGTAAGGTGGGCACCACATTGACGCCCGAGGAGGAGGCACTGCGCACCAAGCTGCAGAATATGCAGGCTGTTGTTTCTGCGCCCACTCAGTTCAAGGGCCGGCTGAGCGAGCTACTCTCCCAGATTCGGATGCAGCGCAGTCAATTCTCTAGCACTGGCCTGCCGGAATATGCATTAGACAAAAGCGCCGAGGATGAGATGAGAACCATAATGACAATGCAGCAGCGCGCCATGGAAGTGCTGAAAGAAACAGTTAACAAAGACATGGAAGCACTGGATATTATCATAAAAGGTTTGCCCGAGTTACAGCAAACATGATCCCCCCATACGAACAGTGCCGAAATTATATAGTTGTTTGTCTAATATAGAGTCAATGAACAAGATGTAATCGTTACAAATTGTTAATGCTTTTTTGTTGCTATTGCCACCGGTCTAGTATTTCCTGTAACTTTGAACTTGCACTTTTACGGCTGGCACGATAGAAAATATAACAAATGTGTTTGGCTCTCGTCGCAACAATCGAAACGAGTTCACATCTCACGCTGCGGAAATTATGTGAACGACAATTTTGTACACTAACTTAAAGTGGGTATAATACATTTGTTTATGCATTGATAATATTTAAAAATGATTTCTAATTTGTGGAAATCAGAAATTGAATAAGTCAGAGATTGTAGAAATTTGATTAATTATTAAGCCGAATGTCAATGCAAAGTACGAAACAAAAACAACATATTTTTATTGGATATAGCTATATAAAGAATGTGGAAAATATTTTGAAAAACTTTTAATCCATTTCAACTTTGAAAACTTGTAACAGTATTTTGAATTCGTCTACCCAAGTAGATCCATTGTTTTTGTCATAACGTTTACACACTGTTAGAGTCAATGCACTTGGTGCAAGCGGCCGACTTTTCTTTGGGATTGGACAATTTTGCAGCGATTACTTGACCATTTGACGCAATTTCGCTAGTTGCCTCTGGCTGCAACGAACTCATTACCAGTGACAAACTCGCATCCAGTTTGTTCAACTTCAGGTTGTTCGTCGCTTGGGTTGTTACATTAACATTATTATGCAGCCAGGTGTGTGTGTGTGCGTGTGTGTGGAGTTGTCTCGTTATATATTTATTTCTTTTGCACTGGGAAAACTCGTTTTCCAGCTAACTGTGCCTGGAGTGCAGTTGTTGCTATTGTTGATTGTGGAGATTTCCGAGAGCTTCCGTTTTAAGACTGGGAAAATGGAAAATGATTGCAGTGTGTGGAGTATAAATGAATTCGCTGTGTCCAGGCCGCCTTACTCATTGTGCGAACTTTGCAACGGCAACTGACGACAGCTGCTCCAACAACGTATATGGACTAATAATAGCTACGCTACAAAAGCTAAAGAAAACTCGCCATGTCGAATGGGTCATTGATAGTGAGTGTGCCTGGAGTTGCAGCCGTAAGATCTGTTACCTAAAACTCTCGCCTCCCTCTCTCTCTCCTTTAGTTGCTGTTGTGGGCATTTTGCTCAAGTGTGGCGGCCACGCCCACGTCATCAATAGCACAGCGTCGTGCACAGCTGCAGGAGGATGTGCAGCTATTGCATCCGCAAATCATAACTATTGAACGGCTGGAGCATTTGCTCCGGCGTGCAGGTGAAATATTTGGTCCGGTTGCCCAGGTCGCTGATTCTGAATCGGCCGGCAGTCAATTGGAGCCTCAAGTAGAGATGCAGGTGCAGCCACAGCAGTACATGTTGCCACCCACAGATCAGCCCTATAACTTCTACTTGCCGCTCTACGATTACATTGATCCCAAGCTGGACGCCAAGAGTCGGCACATGGAGAAAATTGCGCCGCCGCCACAGAGATTGCAACAGGAGCACAATTATTACGCCGACAAGCCAAAGAAGACGCCGAAGAAGTTCAATGCGGCCGCCAAGCACGTCAACCTCAAGTGGCTCAACACATACGAGAAGGCAATGGGCGGAGTTGCTCCCAAGGCAATCTATCTGGAGCAGGATGAGCGCAATCGCATCAACTTTGATGACTCCTTCTTCGCGGTTGATATGCAGGTGAAGACGCCGGACAATCAGCCTCACAAGGAGTCGAGCGCTGTGCCCGCCGAATTGCTGCAGCACGGCGAACAGCTGGCCGAGGATGATCTGATGGCCGCGCCTGCCCAGCTCACATACAGCTACAAGCCAACGGAAGCTATGAAGCAGCCTGCTTAGCGGTGCACTGCGGCCAGGACAACTGTTATTTAATTGTAGTCGGTTACAAAAATACAAAAATATATTTATACATGTTACATATTACTCAATTACGGGGATAAATGCTCAGTAGACCAAACAAAGTGTTTAGTTCAATCATAATTACGTGTAAAGCTTCATTTGGGAATGCTTCGTGTGGCAATCCGAATCTGCTGTCAGTTAAGCGTGCTGAGCGATGCCTTCGCGCACAACCCTTTCAATATCATCGAGCAGACCCGAGGCACCGAATCGGAAGAGCTCGGGCTGCAGCCAGTTCATGCCGAGAGTATTCTTGATGAGCGTCATCCAGGCGATGGCGTCCCGCACAGTTCGTACACCGCCCGCTGGCTTCAGGCCCACAATTTGCTGAGTGCGTCGCTTAAACTCCTGTATGGCATATATCATGACCAGGCCAACGGGCAGTGTCGCATTCACCGCCTCCTTGCCTGTAGATGTCTTGATGAAGTCCGCTCCTGCTAGCATGCACACCATGGAAGCTTTATATACCTGCGAATAGAAAGTAGGCAAATGAGTTTGGGTTAATCTGGGGTAATAGGGGATACTAACATTTTCCATGGAGCCCAGTTCACCAATAGCCAGGATTGTCTTTAGATGTGCACGATCGCCACAGGCCTTGCGCATCTGGACCACCTCGTTGTACACGCCTTCCCAGTCACCCACCAGCGCCAGTGGCCGATTGATAACGATATCAATCTCTGTAGCACCAGATTCGATAGCATAGTTGATTTCCTCCAGACGAGATTTCAAGCTATATTGGCCGGTAGGGAAGCCAGTGGCCACGGCAGCTATTGATATCTCATTCAATTTGTCAAGCTGCTTCAGTGCCTTGTATGCGTCTGCCACACGCGCGGGATAGACGCAAACAGCAGCACAATGAATGTCTGGGAGCAAGCTCTCCTCGACAGATTTCTCAAGAAGTTGAGGTTCAAAGGGCAAACTCGCCCGCACACAAAGCCGCCTCACATTGGAGGCAGTATCATCTCCAGCCAGGGTGGTCAGGTCCGTTAGCATTAAGGCCTTGAGAGCCCACGCGACTTCGTAATCACCCGTCACAGTCGAGTTTTCTGATAAGCTCAATGCATTCTTATTGAGTTCAGGCAGTGAAAAGTTTACCTTGAGCAGGGAGGCATCTGAGAATGTGTAAGTTAATCAATAGCAATATGAGAATGATGGACAGAAATATATGTACTTACCATAGGGCAAGATATTGTTTACTTTTATTCCCATTATATTAAATTTTACTCAAGAGAATGCTCCCTTTTGGCAGTTAACAAGAATAACACGCACTTACCACGCTAATGCCGCCCATAAACAAGCCGCAGATAAGAAATCAGCTGCTGGCAGCGTTGCCATATCGATGGATGAAGTTCAAATGTAAAAGCACAGGGCTGTTACATTATTTTTTGAAAGTTTTTAGCCGCCATTAGATTTGATTTAATGGCATGTACACATAGTTGTTTATTTCGAAGCAATATCACGGACTATGAGCCTTGAGAATGACGCACTATAGAGATATAGAATTGTTTATATTCATTTGTTTATCACTTTTGATATGTAAAGTTAGATTAAGTTCCCGTTAAAGGTGACCCAAGACTAGTTGAATAAAATATATCAATTTTTAATTAATAAACAAAATAAAGATATATTTGTACAAACAGAATTAAATAGCTAATACTGAAAATTTCTTATTAATTATAAAACTTTATCTTATCTACGCAGTTCAAAGTCAAATAACATCAAGGGAAATTCCAGGCTAATACTTTAAGTACCTCGTTTATAAATTAGCGAAAGCTTCATCCATTTAAACACCTGCCTATCTTTATCTGTCCTATACAATAGGTCGTTCGTGGAAGCCCAACTATAAATGTTACAATGCCATAATATACTGATTGCTAAGATTTTTATAGTCAGCTGCCTTATTATTTCATTTGACTTGGATTTATGCCGAAAATATGCATTTCGGATTAGTTCTCGATTCAGGCGATTACTGTGCAACAAGCGGACATGAATGAATGCATTTATAGTTTTGTATTGATTTGAATAGCGATAAGTAGACAATCGAGTGCTTGGATTGATGCACTCTAAGTGTCTTCTGATACACTATCGATGGTTAAGTCATTATGTGCTGATTAGATCTAACAGGCAGTGCACACTTACAGATTACAGATCCACTCCAATGGATAGTGGCTATAGAAAACAAGTTGATCATGTGCAGCCAGTAGACAATATAAATAGATGGGACATATGCCTCGGTAACTTACATATAAGTGCATCTAGGGCGAGGCATCAGTATGGCAGCAATACCGACCACCTACAATGAGAAGGAGAATACGTGGTGTGGAGCCAAGCGGAGCTCCATCTATGACTATAATATATCTGTGGGCAAGGTCATCTTCAATACCATGAAGAATTGGCCCAAAAACGTGTGTCAGGTGCGTGCAAACGAAATATCGTGCTGCCTGCTCATGGAAGCTAAAAACTGTTATTCAAATGCGTAGATTAACGACATCGATGGCGTCACTGTGACCAATGAGCAGGGCATCACCTGGGCCGTGCGCATTGCGCAGTACCTGAAAAATTGTGGCCTCAACCACAAGGACGTGATTGGGATCGCTGCTAAAAATACCACCTACGTCATGCCTTTGGGCGTGGCCTGCCTCATGAATGGCACGCCATTCCATTCGGTGAATCCCTTGCTCGACGAAGGTATGCGAATCGTATTCTTCAATCTTATCTGGATTGCGTCAATGTAATCGCAATTAATTTAATTAATATAGCCACCGTTAATTACGTCTTTGCAATAACGAAGCCGATGCTAATATTCTGTGATGGTGCCGATTACCAGAAAATTCGCGCGGCTACGCTAGGCTGGCATCCAGAGATATACACTTTGAGCGATCCCATTGAGGGCGTGCCCAATATAGAGACTCTGTTGGATCCAACTACCACCGAAATGTTCTATCAGTAAGCGAGCTAGCTATTATATGTATAAATGTTATATATATTCTCTCTTCTCTTTTCTTTTATTTAGACCGGAGCCTTTGAAGACTGGCGGCGATCAAACCGTGGCCATCTTGTGCTCCTCGGGCACCACAGGCTTGCCCAAAGCCGTTTGCATTTCGAATAGTATTTTAATACAGGATAGCTTGTAAGATCCCCACTGTTCGCCTCTGGAATTGCTTATTCTGAATCCCTGTTAACTTGGCAGGCTCGTGACTAGCGAATCGGTGATCTTTGTGGCCAGCTCGCTGGACTGGCTAACTGGGCTGTTGGCCTTCGTCTTCAGCACTGTGTTCGGCTGCACTCGCATCATAACTAACCGACCCTTTGAGCCGTCCTACTTTGTGGAGCTGGTCCAGAAGTACAAGATCAACTATGCCGTGGTGCCGCCCAGGCATCTGTCTGCCCTGGTCACCTGTCCACAGGCCACGCCAGAAGCACTACAGCCGTTGCGTATGCTGAATTACGGCGGAGGCTTGGTATCCCTAACCACACTGCAGCGTGCCCAGGAGATATGCAAGTCGGCCATGTTCAATTCGGGCTACGGCATGACCGAGGTGGGTGCCATAACAGTGAACATTGGCATTAGCAATACCGCCTCAGCGGGCCGGCTCCTGCCGGGCATCAAAATTCGCATTGTCGACGAAGACGGCAAGAGCCTAGGCTATAACCAGGTGGGCGAAATCTATGTGCACACGGGACAGGCCTGGAACGGCTATTACGGCAATCCCGTCGAGACGCGACGTATGCAGGATTTCGAAGGCTGGTTCCATACTGGCGACCTGGGCTACTTTGATGAGCAGAACTTCCTGTACATTGTTGATCGGAAAAAGGAGATCCTCAAGTACCAGGGACTGCACTACTGGCCCACCGAAATCGAGGGCATCATTGCGGAGCTGCACCAGGTGCAGGACGTTTGTGTCGTTGGCATCTACGACGAGCGTTCAGGCGATGCCGCTGGCGCTCTGATTGTCAAGCGTGCAGGCTGCGAAATCAGCGCCAAGGAGGTGATTGATCATGTGGCCAAGCGCCTGACGGGCATGCAGAAGCAGCTGCGCGCTGGAGTACGATTTGTGGATAAGCTGCCGGCCAACGTGAACGGGAAGACTATGCGCAAGAGCGCGAAGGAGGTGTTTCTTGCTCAGCCCAACTGAGCCAATGAACAAATATTCACCTGAATTGTATATTTTACGTTATGAGAAAGAGTACTTGAGAGCCGGCTGATAAGGGGCTTAACATGAATGAACACAAACAAACAGACAAACAGACTTTCAATTACATATTTAACAAGATCTATCACACGCTTCTATAAAGTATAAATTTTAGCCATAATAAGTTGCCAAACAGATATGAATTTATTCAAGCACTGCGGCATTTCCAGATAGTCTAATCTCAAGGCTAGCTGATTCAGCGGTAAAGTCGAAACACTTGGGTCTGGCTGACTTCGTCAGCATTGATTCTTAAAATAACCAGAAAACAAGAACTTTATAATTAAGCTAATCTAATAAGAATGCCTAAGTGAGGCTTTCAATTGGACAGCGGAGGAACGGGCAGGCTGATTATGCAGCTGGCTAAATTGAGCTCATTATCATGGGAATTTATTTATATGTATTTATCTTGATACGATTCTGCATAAGTTAAAAATATGAATTTATTTCTTTTTGATAAAGGTGAGGCACGTGTTAATGAGGAAGCATTTCGCATGGCACTTCAGATTGCATTTGATTCTGATAATATTATCAGCTTCAGATTGATTCAGTTCTTCACAAATCTCTTTTTATATGACATAATTGTTTGATTACTCAAAATACCCGCTTTACATAGAAAATTTTCAATGATATTTGCCTCAAGCATAATCTGGAAATACCAGAAATGCCAATGACCAGGAAAGGCATCATAAATCGGCATGAGTTTAGATTAATAACCCAGTAACATAACGGTATATAGGGGGTTTTATTGCTAGATTATTAAAATCAGACTAGTAGCTGATTACTTCGATCAGATTTCCCGTTATATACAATCAATTAAAGCTCTAACGAAGCTGAATCCAAAGATAATGTCTCTAAGAAATACGTGTGCACCTGATAATGGGTTGGACTGGGCGTTAGATAAGCGTAGCGTAAATTTTCTATACGACTCCTATTGGCTAACGCTTATGAAGTTTATGGTCCTATTCCTGTTCGTTGTTTTTGTTTTTGTTTTTGTTTTCTTTTGTTTTCGGCTAATCACGGTGAGCTCAGCATTTACTGATAAAAGACAATATTTTTACTATTTAATTGAGTGGTCTTCAGGGAATTAGTTATTTAGTAGCTGAAACTGAAGGCGATCAGAGCTAATAAAAAGTAAATAGAATGGACGACTTCTTCAAAACTCACTACGATCCCATTGCACGGATCTGGAGTGGCGCGAAATCGTCGCCCATGTACGATTTTGATTGCTCATACGGTCGCATAGTGCACAATCAGCTCAGGAATAATCCTAATCACATATGCCAGGTGAGTTGCAGAATAAATATGGATAGCCGACAAGTTTATAGCTTAATCATTGCTATATATTATAGATATGCCTGGCGGATGGAAAAACTGCGACAAATCGGGACGTATTCACTTGGTCCGTGCGCCTGGCGCAGAATTTCAAGAAACGTGGATTACGTCACGATGACGTCATCTGCATCTCGGCCAAGAACAGCACCTACGTTACGCCAGTGGCGGTTGCCTGCCTCTTCAATGCCACGCCCTTTCACGCCGTCAACCCCATCCTGGACCCCGAGACACTCAGCCACGTGCTGGCGATAACAAAGCCATCGCTGTTCTTCTGCGATGCCGCGGATCTGGAGAAGCTGAAGACGGCGAGCGCTGCATGGTCACCCGAGTTCGTAACGCTGACAGGTAAAGTGGAGGGCGTGCCATTCGTGGAGGAGTTCCTTGCCCCAACCAACACTGAAATGTTTTATCAGTAAGTTGCAATCGCATTTATAAATAATACGTCCTGCTTATCAATATGTTATTTATATCACAGACCTCAACCTTTGATCTTCGGCGGGGAGCAGACCATGGCCATCTTGTGTTCGTCTGGCACGACGGGCAAGCCCAAGGCCGTGTGCATGGCCAACTACATGCTGTCGTGCAGCAATCCGTAAGTTTTAATCGATTCCTTATCAACTTTAGATTACATAATCGGGTTATGTCCCTTGCAGCTTCCTCAGCTCTGAGGCAGTCATTTACTGCGGCTCCAGCTTGGACTGGTATTCGGGTCTGATCAACTTTATGTACTCCGTCGCAGATGGCTGCACGCGCATCATAGCCGACAAGCCCTTCAGTGCGGAGTATATCTTAGAGCTCGTGACCAAGTATAAGATCAACATCCTCAGCATTGCACCGCGTCACGCCAGCGAGTTGGTCGCCTGCCCGCAGGCCACGCCGGAGAAGTTGGCCTCGGTGTTCCTAGTAGCCGTCGGAGGCGGCTGGATACCCTCGGTGACGTTGCAGAAGGTGCAGAAGCTCATTCAAAGGGGATTTGTCTATTTTGGCTACGGAACTACAGAATTCGGAGGAGTGTGCGCCGGTCCCTTCAATGAGAAGCTTGGCAACACAGTTGGCAAACTCAATGCCGGCATTAAGATTCGCATTGTCGATGAGGACGGCAAGAATCTGGGTTACGGCATGGTCGGAGAGGTCTATGTGAACCACGGCCGCAACTGGAAGGGCTATTACGGCAATCCAGTGGAAAGTCAGCGCATGTATGACTCTCTTGGCTGGTTCCACACGGGCGATCTGGGCTACTTCGACGAGGAGAACAATCTGTACATTGTGGACCGCAAGAAGGAGATCTACAAGTGCTTGGGCATGCAATACTCGCCCAACGATATCGAAGCCGTCATTACCGAGCTGCCCGATGTTGTCCAGGTGTGTGTCGTGGGCGTCTACGACGACAAATACGGCGATGCGCCCGCTGCCATGATAGTCAAGCGGCCCGGTAGCTCCTTGACCGCCGAGCAGGTCAAACAGCATGTGGCCAAGCGGCTCGTGGTCAATCACAAGCAGCTCCATGGAGGCGCCTACTTCACCAACGAACTGCCCGTAACTGCCAGCGGCAAAGTGATGCGTCGCACGGTCAAAGAGCAACTGACCCAGTCGAGCGTAGATCGATAGGGGGTATTTGTATTAGTCTAGTGACACCTATTTAAGTACGTGTAAAAGTATTTGTGAAAATGAATGTTGATATGTCCCTGTGAAGTATATTAGTTAAGGTATTTTCTGAGAGAAAAAAAAAACGAATATCTTGTTTCTTCTAAATCAATAATGCTTTTTTATTCCAATATTACCGTCAAACTGACCGGTTTAACCCCAACTGATTATACATATACTATATACAGATAAGAGTATTTTGACTTTCCCATTAGCCAGAAGGTCAAGGAACGATCAGGTTTGGCGTTTTGTTGGAGTCATTGAGAAGCAAAACAGCTGTACGCTGTTGCTAGTATTTAGGTACTTCTTAGACGAATATTCCCTAACTATTTTGCCATATGTACCATGGTTTGCTTACCCCAAAATATGGTTAAATAATTGTTTAATGTGCTATCAAAAAGTATGCTTTAATAATTTATATTATTTGTAGATTTATTTGATTAGAATTCATGATAACTTTTGTTCTTTTGGAAGAGTTTTGGATGGTTAATTAGTATTGTTAAGATGTTGAAAGAAATATTTCTGTATATATATAGCTGATTATTAGATTAGCCTCGACATCTAATTGGAAGAATGTAATTCTCTGTATAAACCAACACGGGATCTTGCCAGGGCTACAGAGTCATGCTGTTATTGGAATCCATCGACGATCCCATTGAAAGCAGCTGGAGTGAAGCAAAGTGGAGTAATTGAAATCACAATTGCTTACTTAGCTCAATGCTTCACAGTAATCTGTAAAATCAATCACCAAAGCAATTCTCAGGTAAGTGAAGATCAAAATAAACATCATTTAGCTAAACACTCGAAGCAATTGATTGACGTCAACTACGTCTCACTCGCTCTCAATTGGAGGCTGCTCTGTTCTTCACTGAAGTAGAAGCTAACTGAGAAAAAGATCGCCTAATTACATGGGTTTGGTTCAGCTTTAATGGTGTAAATAAATATGTTTCGATTTTCTAATTACAAATAGGCCCTGAGTTAATATTCAGCGATTTGTAATCGCGTTAGTTAGACTATGAATGAACCAAGACGTAGCTCCATAGGATGAGTAGCAATGCCCAGCTGGTCGGATGACTGGCACCTGCAGTCGCCTCTGGCTGAGGGTGTTCCATGTCCACGGCTGTGACATTCGCATTGGAGCTGGGCTCCTGCTCCGTTGCCTGCGGCACGAACTGCTGTCGCACTTTGCCGGTCTTGATCTCAACTTTGGGCAGCGGAAAGCAATAGACGCGCTCCACTTCTACCAGCACCGCCGTCGAGCTCTCCGTGGCCATCTCCGATACGGTCAGTGGCACACAGATGGTCGGCTCCTCGGCGGAGTTGCGCTCCTCGTAGGGAATGCCAACGCGCGTGATATTGAGTGGCATCTGGGGCCCCTGTGGTACCTGTGGCACCAGGGTATCCGGCACGCTCAGCTCGCTTTGCATTTGAGCCGAGTTGAGATTTTCCTCATAGTATTTATAGTCATCGATGTCGTCGTCTAGCCGATCGATGCTGTCGATGTGATCGACGCGATCGATGCTGCTGCCGGCATCGGTGTAGATGCGCTCAGTGCTGCTGGGCGTGGCATCCAGAAAGTCTGTGGGCCAATTGAGCGCCACGGTGGTGGACTCCACAAGGCCCGCGCTGGGCGTGGGCGCTGCCGTGCTGCTCATCCCTGGACTCACTCGGGGCACGGGCTGCGTGCTCTCAAAGGTGGGCGTGGGATATGGATAGGGCAGCGGCATCCAGTTATCCTCTGTGGTTTGCACATGCTTACGTCTCTGTACGGCTGTCGTTGTCTCAACGGACTCGTTGATTTGCTGGGCCATCGCTCGCATCAGAGGATCCGTTGCATTCACGCGCACCACTTCGATCGCCGATTGCTTCGGCTGCGGCTGCGGCTGCAGCTGGGATGGATGCAGTTGCGATGGTATGCGCCAGCGACTGCGGGTTTCCTGCGAATGCTCGAAGCTATCGCGTCGTGAATAGGGATTCTGATAGCCCACACCTGCAGTGCGTTGCTCTGTTTCCGGCAACATCTCCTCGCTGGATGTGTCGCGCCTATCGGTGGCTGCAACAAGTGTAAACAGA